CCAAATTGTAAGCCTTGCTTCTTTTGTTGTTGTGACTTGTTTCACTTTTGAGACAAGGAATCATTATGTAGCCTTGGCTGTCCCGGAACTTGTGTGAGAGCCAAAGTTACATTTTACGTTTTAATTACTGTGCCTAAAAGATCCATGAAACAAAAATGCCTCTGATCTGCAAGCCCCTTGCCCAAGGACAGATATCCTGAAATGCTGGTGGCTATTATTGATGGGAGAAAACAAACCACATGTTTTCACTCCCCGAAATAAGTTTGTTTGACCCCTAAATAAGTTTGTTTGCACCGGACGTACTTGATCACATGTGGGCAGGAGGTTCACAGGAAGGGAATACATCAGGATATATGCTTGCCCTGATTGGATATAAACTGGAGGTTCAGGATGTATGCTTTCCCCTGATTGGACCTGACGGCAAATACTTACGCCGCTGTAAACTGGGATGTGACTCAGGACTATCTTCTGGAAACCTGGAGATGGACCTGGCCAAAGCCCATCCACCTGGCCAGCATTTAATTAAAGCTTGCTTCAAACTTGGCTTTAAACTGTGGTAGTGGTCTTATTCTCAATCTGTGAGATCTTGCTAGGTAGACCAGGCCAGCCTTGAACTCAGAGATCTGCCTGCCTTTACCTTCAGAGTACCAGGATTAAAGAAATGCACCACCATGCCCATTGAGTCCTGCTTCTTAAAGAAAAAATATAAAACTCATTTCCCTTGTCTCCTTAGCAACAGAGGTACAGGCATGCAACATAGGCTTCAAGGATTTCAAATGACCAATTGAGGCTTCATTACAGATGAGAGAAATCAGAGAATGCAGAAGCTGCACAGAATTCACTTGCTCATGAAAATGTGAGCCTAGATGGTAGCCAGAGCCCAGACTCAGCAGAGAGGTTATAGTGGGGTCTCCTGATAACATAGTCTTATCTGGAGCAGTGCCATATGGTAACATGGGCATCCTTGTGGTTGAATAGTCTTCAGACCTCTGCAAGCACCGATACAGTCCTTAGTGTGTAACTGAGGACACCAATAAACACAGTATTGTTTATTTTACATCCTTGATGGAAATACAAATTAAAACACAATTTTTTTTAATATATTGTAACGGAAGTAGAATTACATCACTCCCCTGACACTTTCCTCCCTCCAGCCCCTCTCAGGTACTTTTCCTCCAACCTTTCCTGTGTCTCCTCCCCTCCCCTCGTCAATAGCCTGTTTATTGTTATCGTTATTATTATTGTTACACACATATATTTATATATGTGCATACACAAATATATCAATGCAACCTGCTGAGTCTGTTTTTGTTTTTGTGTGTGTGGTTTCAGGGCTGACTACTCTGCAATGGATAACCCATAAGGGAGCATCCCTGGGAAAAGCTAATTCTCCCTCTCCCACTCATCATTAGATGACTGTAGGTCTTGGTCTAGGGCTAGGACTCCAGGAAACCTTCCCCTTCCACGTTAACATGTCCATTGATACTGCCATTGTTCCAATCTGGTTTGTCTTTTTCTTTTTTTTTTTTTAACTTTTTTTATTCATTTTCCATCCCAACCACAGATCTGCCTCTCATTCCTTCTTCCGCTCCCCCTCAGCCTTCTACCTCCCCACATCCCTTCCTCCAAAAGGGTAAGGCCTCCCATGGGGAGTCAGCAAAGCCTGGTACATTCAGCTGAGGCAAGACCAAGCCCCTCCCCCCACCCCATCAAGATGTCCCACCATGGGTAATGGGCTCTAGAAAGCCGCCTCATGAACCAGGGATAGATTCTGGTCCCACTGCCAGGGGCCCCTCAAACAGCCCAGGCTACACAACTGTTTCCTGTATGCAGAGGGCCTGGTTCAGTCCCATGCAGGCTCCACAGCTGTCAGTCTAAAGTTCATGAGTTCCCACAAGTTTGGTTCTGTTGTCTCTGTAGGTTTCCCCATCATGATCTTGACCACCCCCCCTTGTTCATATAATCCCTCTTCCCTCTCTTCAACTGGACTCTCAGAGCTTGGCCTGGTGCTTGGCTGTGGATCTTTTTGTGCAGCCTTTTCTGGAAGAGACTATTTCACAGAAGGCTCCTTTTATATTCTTTCTTCCCCTTCCCTAAGACACCAGTGCAGGAGTTGGGATGTAGATGTTGCAACTTTTATAAAATGCCTTAGTATTATATATCATGATCCAGGAAAAAAAATACTTTTAACTCACCAAACCTTCTTGTAAGATTAATACTAAGGGAAAAAAGGAATTATGCCAAGGAAATAGTCTAAAGAAGGGAAATGATGTATGGATAAACATGATTTAAAATCCCCATGGATTAGCAACAGCCTGAGGGCACACTAAGAGATCAGTGAGTCACTTGTGGCCCACCCTTGTAGCCCAAGGGACCAGCCTTTCTAGGTGACAGGAGTTTGGAGTATTCTTTTGTAAAAGAGGGTTCTGAGGAAGCACAGCTGCATTTAGAGTGACTACTTCTCATGTGTGTGTGCACATGTGTGTGAACGTGTGTGCATGTGGTGTATGTGCACAGATGTACAGTAAATATATACAGAATGTTCGCAATAGTATCTGAAACTAAACACAACCTGAGTACACATCAATGGTCTTGCTGGCAGGTGCATTCATAACTTCCCTTGTTGCTAGACAAAATCCATGACCAAACCAACTGAGGGGCCGGTGAGAAGGCTCAGTGGGGGGATGGCCACCTGAGCTCCACCCCCAGAAGCCAGGAAAAGGTAGAAGAGAATCCATTCCACCAACTTGTCCTCAGACCGCCTCAGCTGCGCTATTGTGTGGACTCACACGCACATTTTTTTTTTTTTTTTAAGCAACTTAAGGATGACAGGGCTTTTTTGGCTCACGATATGAGGCTGCAGTCCTCTGGACAGGAAATCATGACAGCTTCTATGCATCTAGTGACACCACATCCTCAGTCAGGATGCAGAGAAAGAGATAAATGACCACGCTCAGCTTGCCTTCTCCATTTTGTTTGCTAGAGGACCCTAGTCCGTGGCAAGGTATCCCACGAATTCAGGCTGGGCCTTCCTTCCTGCTCAATAAAACCTTTCTGGGAAACATCATTATAGACATACTCAATGGTATATTTCCATGGTAACCTCAAACTCTGTCAGGCTGACGCTAAAGATTAAACATCATACCAGATAAACATGCAGTGCCATCGTGTACTATACACTATATACCTGAATATTCTAACCACATCTAGATCCAGCACAGTAGAGGAACCTCATAAACATAGCCATAAACGAAAGTGGCAAGTTATATGAGTCCATCATAAAGTAAGAACAAAGATTAAATTATGCTATAAGTGTACACACACAAAATGGATAAAGCTATAAAGTAAGAAAATAATTATCACCAACATCAAAACAGTGGTTTCCTCGGAGAGAGAAGGAGATGAGGGCATCCTGGGACTTGCAGCTTAGGCAGAATTCTTTCTTAAACAGACAGTCCTTTTGCAAACGTTCATTTCATCGTTCTGTATTAACGGAAGAGTGTTGGGGGTTATTCTCCTTCCTGTGTGTATATTGTCATGAAAGCTAAGTAGTTAGAGAGATAGATGCTAAATAGATAGGTAAGCAGATACAGAGAGACAGACAGACAGATTATAGACAGACAGACAGATGGATGGATGGATGGATTATAGGTAGATTTCGTGTGTGGTGCGCTTGCATTTAAACCAAGAATCATGTGCTCACTTGGCCAACACTCTACCAATTGAGCTGCATCTCCAGCCCAGTTGTTTCTGTTTCTAAAAAACAAAAGAAAGGAGATACTAACAAATTAAGTTCAAGGTTGGGATGAGGCAATAGAAAAATCACCTTTTCTAGAAACAAAACTTGCTTTGGGTCATTGAATCAGGTGGTGAAGGGAGGTGAGGATGTGAATTGAGACCTGGGGTGATGACGTGGACCCACGTCAGAGATTTGGTTACAATGATAAGCACGGTTCTGAACGCTACTTAATGAATCCAGGTGATCCTTTTTATTCCTCCACGAGAGATCTAGACCACTACAAAATCAAACTTTTGAAAGTCCTGGGGCAGGGGAAATTGAGCAGGTTCTGGAAGGTGTTGTATGGGGCAAATGCATGTGCATGTTTCAGGCCTGTACCGTCTCCTCTGTCTGTCTTCTTTACCCTCTCAGTTCCAGCTGAGAAATTGAGAAGGGAGGCATGGATCTGCCAACAGAGAAGTCAAGGCCATAGTTTCTACATCCAAATAGAACGGCCATCAGTGAAGTGTTATAAACACAGGCATGCTTAGCAGCCATGTGATCCCCATGGCGGGGGAGAGGGTTGGCCCAAGAAAGAACCCTGAGATAAGGTAGAAAATCATTTTAAGGATGGTACCCTATAGGCAGGATTCCAACTATTTTAAATAGAACCCAAAACAGCAGAGTAATGAAGAGTGAGAGTTCTCTATATATTTGGCTTGGAACTGCTGCCCAGGAGTATTTGAAGTCACACCATATGGAGCTCACCTCAAACCACCTTGGAAAGCAAACGCCTAGTAATTGTTCAGCGAATTGCTCATTGTGGATTGTTTACCCCATATAGGTCTACCAAAAGCCAGTGACTTATATCCATTTACCTGTGCATTCAAAGCCTGCCATTTAATAAAGCTCCAATCCTAAGGGCTCTCACTAGCTCAGGTCTAGTATCTGTTAGGGTCCACAGATCACCCCTCAAAAGACCACCACTCACATGTGCAAAAGCAAGAGCGTTTATTTCTCAAAAGAAGAATTCCTGCATGCAGGGATCAGCCACACAACAACACAGTCACAACCCCTAGAGAAGCTGCCAGGCTCCTGTTATAGACAGCCAGGAGGGGATTAGGTCATCTTAAACATGATTGGCCAAGTGAGCAGCAGCCACATTAATGTGTTTCTGATTGGCTGGGCCTGCAAGTGCTGAATCATGCCTGGTATGCAATATCGCCCTCACTTGCTTTACCAGAAACCAAAACTGAAACAGAAACTAAGACCTAAACAGAAACTGAAACTCAGTCCTAGCAGAGGCTGGGGCCAGGAGACCATGGTGCTCCTGTGGTCTCTCAGTGTAGTGTTCCTGGACGATCATTAAACCCAGAAAGAAGAAAAGGAGCTTACTAGTGTTATTGCAGTGGAGCCTGAAACTTAACTGCCTATCAACTGGATTGTTTTACAACTTGGTAAGGACAGAGGTGATCTTAGAGATTCTTGTCTGATACAAATGAAATAATTGCTATTGATTATAGTTATGACTTTATGTGGCATTAACCACTTTGGTAAATGAACCATCAATCTTATGTAATCACTGCTTTAAAAAACAAAACAAAACTAATTTCTCCATTTGTTTTTATGGTCTTTTGAATAAGAATGGCCCTCATAGGCTCATATACTTGCATGCTTAGTCCCACGTTGATGTACTGTTTGGAAGAATTAAGAGGCGTGTCCTTGTTGGAGGAAGTGTATTGCTGCGGGTGGGCTTTGAGACTACAAAAGCCTATGCCAGACCCAGTGAGTCTCAGAGTGCCTCTCTCTCTCTCTCTCTCTCTGCCTGCTGCCTGCAGATCAGGATGCAGCTCTCAGCTACTTCTCCAGCACCATGCCTCCATGCCTGTCTGTGTACCACCATGAGCCCCACCAGGATGATCATGGACTAACTCTCTGAAACTGTAAGCAAGTTCCCAGTTAAAGGCTTTCTTTTTCAGAGTTGCCTTGGTCATGGTGCCACTTCGCAGTAATAGAACAGGGACTAAGACACCTTCAAAATCAGCTAGACATCTGTTGGTAGGTAGGGTCAGCAATGGTTTTCTGCGGTGGAAGACAATGTGAAGAATACGGAGAAGATAAACCAACAGGCGACCAACCAGTAGGAAATATTTGTGAACTACGTATCCAACAAATATTGTTCTCTCTTTCCACCATTCAGGCACTGGAGATGGGACCTGGGTCGTCAGGATTGGTGGCAAATGCCTTTTCTCCCTGCTCTGTGAAGTTTTATCTGGCTTGGGTCATCAAGACTTAATGTTGCTCAGTGGTAGAATGCTTGCCTACTTTATAAAAGGCCCCAACAGTTCAAAAATAAAATAAAACAGTTGAGAGGTTTTTCTTTATACATTGACTTCTTATGCTCTTCATCTCTTTTTCTGTTTCAGTGGGTACTGAATTTTTATTACTGTGTGAAAGAGCTTTGTGAAGGTTCTCAACCCCCAATGCAGTTTTTCCAAGTTATTTATTCTAGGGTTTTGTTGTTTGTCTGTTGGTTTGGATTTGTTTGTTTGTTTTCTATCCAAGGTTTCTCTGCAGACTCCTAGCTGTTCTAGAACTCAGTCTATAGACTAGACTGGCCTCAAACTCAAAGATCCACCTGCCTCTGCCTTCCAAGTGCTAGAACTGAAGTCATGTGCAGTCATGCCAGGCTTACTTTCACAATTTTATGTGTAGTGATTTGAATGAGATGTCCCCCATAGTCTTAGACATATGCATACTTGGTTCCCAGTTGTTGACACTCTTTGGGGAGTCTTAGGGGATGTGGCCTTAAGGAAGGAAATGTCACTAGGGGAAGGCTTTGAGGTTCCAAAGGCCACAAGCAATTCCCAGTTAGCTCTCCAAGCTTCCTGTTTGTGGGTTACCATGTGAGCTCTGAACTGCTGCTACAGCTACCTGACACTTGCTGTCTCCACTCCGCCATCATGGCCTCTAACCTGGCATGGGATATTCGTACACTGTGTGAAGGTTTAATTGCTGTGATTGGTGTAATAAAAAGCTGAATAGCAGCCGGGCGGTGGTGGTGCACGCCTTTAATCCCAGCACTCGGGAGGCAGAGCCAGGCGGATCTCTGTGAGTTCGAGGCCAGCCTGGTCTCCAAAGCGAGTTCCAGGAAAGGCGCAAAGCTACACAGAGAAACCCTGTCTCGAAAAACCAAAAAAAAAAAAAAAAAAAAAAAAAAGCTGAATAGCCAATAGCCAGGCAGGAGGTATAGGTGGGACTTCTGGGCAGAGAGAAGGAGCAGGAGGATGAATCCAGGTATGAGAAAGACGCAGAATGAGTCAGACACACAGAATGGGATGGAGGTAAAAGACACGTGGTAGAATGTAGATTACTAAAAGTACGGGTTCGTTTAAGTTATAAGAGTTAGTTAAAAACAAGCCTAAGCTAAAGGCCAAGCCTTCATAATTAATAATAAGTCTCTGTGTCATTATTTGGGATCTGGCTGGTGGGACAGAGAAAGACTCGTTATACTTTGGAGCTGTAAGCACCAAAGGAACTCTTTCTTCTATAAGTTATCTTGATCACGGTGTTTTATCATTGCAGTAGAGGAGTGGTTAATGCATATGTATTCAAGACAAGTTGTTTGCTATGACTTCTTTTCTTTCTTTTTTTTTTAATGAAACGGGAGCGGGCAGTTGCCACAGCACACTTGAGATCAGAGGACTACTTTTCAGAAGTCGGTTTGTTCCTTCTACCAGGGGACCAAACTCAAGCTATCAGGCTTGGCAGCAAGTGCTGAGTCATCTCCCTGGCTCTGCTTACGCTTCCTTAAGTTCATGTTGACAAGTCCTTTTTAATAGCTATCTTTATCACCAACATTTACATTTTGTCCATTTATATCTTTTTATTTTAACTTTCTTCTTTATTATTTATTCACTGTGCAAAATGATGGGCTTCACTATGATACTTCTATATGTAGACTGTTCTTTGCTCATCACCCCATTACCCTGTCCTGTCCCCTTTCCCCTTCCTCTGGTCCCCTTCCTCTTCCCATAGTCCCTCTGTGCTGCTTAGTCTTTTGCTAACTTGACAGGAGCTAGCCTACTCTTGGAAAGGAGACCCTCCATAAGGTTGACCTACAGGTCAGGGAAGTCTGTGGGGCATTTTCTCAATTAATGATTGACGTGGAGGGATCATCCCCACTGGGGAGTGGTGCCACCCTGGGCAGGTGGACACAGAGAGCAAGTCAGTAAGCAACACCGCTCCACAGCTCTGAATCCGTTCCTGACCTTGGGTTCTGGCCTCGAATTCCTGCCTTGGCTTCCCTCAATGATGGACTGTGAGGAGGATATGCAAACCAAATAAATCCTTTCCTCCACAATTCCCTTTAGCCATGGCGCTTATCACAGCAACAGAAACAAAACTAAGACACTTCCTTTTACTTTTATGTCATAGATATATTATTATAATTATAATATATAATCATCTAAATTCCCTCATGAGAGAGAAACCTGTCACAATTGCCTGAACCTGGCTTGTTTCACTTCACATGATAATGATCACAGTTTTGATCCATTTTTCTGAAAATCACGTACTTGTCATTGCTGAATAAAACTCCATGGTTATATGCACTGTGTTTTCTGAACATTCGTCTGTTGACGAGCATCCACACTGATTCTACGACTTGGGAATTATAAATATTGTGGCAAAGAAAATGATGTCTAGGGATCTATGTGGTATATTGACTCAGTTTCCATGGGGTAAATACCCATTTGCAGTATAGCAAACGGGAATTATATTTTCAGTTTGCTAAGGCACAGCTTGTCTTAGTCACTGTTCTATTACTATGAAGAGACACCATGACCAAGGCAACTTTTATCAAAGAAAGCATTAAATTGGGACTTGCTTACAGTTTCAGAGGCTTAAGCCATTATCATCATAGGAGATGCATGGCACTACACAGGCAAACATGGTGCTGGAGAAGTAGCTGAGAGTTCTATGTCCTGATCTCAGCCAGCAGGGGGACAGGGAGAACTGGACCTAGCATGGGCTTTTGAGACTTCAAAGCCCACCTCCAGTGATACACTTCCCCAAATGAGGCCACACCTACTCCAACAAGTCTACCCTTCCTATCCTTCTCAAATAGTGCCACTCCCTGATGACTAAGCATTCAAATATATGGGTGCATGGCAGCAATTCTTTTTTTTTTTTTTTTGGTTTTTCGAGACAGGGTTTCTCTGTGTAGCTTTGTGCCTTTCCTGGAACTCACTTGGTAGTCCAGGCTGGCCTCGAACTCACAGAGATCCGCCTGGCTCTGCCTCCCGAGTGCTGGGATTAAAGGCGTGCGCCACCACCGCCCGGCCGCATGGCAGCAATTCTTATTCAAACTGCCACACAACTCCATACTAACTTCCATAAAGATGGATTAATTTGCCTTCACACCAATACTAAATAAACTCCTTGCCTCCTTAGAAGCACTTGTTTTCATGATGATGATGACGCTATTCTGTTAGTGGGAGAATGGATCTCACTGGGTTTTGATTTGCATTTTTTAATACCTATTTATATTTCACGTTGTTTCTACATCTCATTTTTATCCTATTGTAATTCACTTCGGTGTGATCTGAGCCAGGCAGTGGTGGTGCACCCTTTAATCCCAGCACTCACGAGGCAGAGGCAGGTGGATCTCTGTGAGTTCGAGGACAGCCTGATCTACAGAGTGAGTTTCAGGACAGCCAGGGCTACACAGAGAAACACAGCCTCAAAAAAACTAAAACCAAACCAAAACAACAAAAAAAAAGTAGGTCTCACAATTTTTCTTAATTGTTCAGCATTTGTTTTATTGTTATTTTATCGAGTAGTTCAACTTTTCTTCTCAAATTTTAAATGTCATTCTTATCAGATACTGAATTCTTGTACAGTTTGCTTCATTGCTTCATTTATTATTATAGCCTTCTCATCTCATCTTACTGATTGTGCTGATTAGTTGAACTATGTTGTAATGCCAAAAAATTCAGTCTTTTGTTTTTTATGTTTCCTAAGTTTTCTCACCAATTAATCTGGAAAAAAATTTTTTTTTCCATTTTGCCAACTGCCGGTAAAGGGAATGTCTAGAGAGCCTACTTCCACCCTGACACTGCTCCCAGTAATTTATATATGTCAGTTCATATAATGCTAGCAGTAACGCTGTAAGGTAGGCACCTTTATTGTCCATGCTTGACAGTAGATGAAGTCAAGGCATAAAGACCAACTTGCCCAAGGTCACATAGCTAACAGTGACATGTAATACACCCACTAAGCCCAGATAGTCTGACCAAGGGCTCACACTCAAACAGTTAGGCCAATATTATCTTGATTTTCTTTTGCTTTAAATTGGAGATAGTACAACATAAAAATAAGTCTTTGAGGTACTATAATGACTAAAATGCTGCTCAAATCAGCTTCATAGTCACATTCTATAGCAACGTACTTGACCTTCCCAAGTTTTTCATCACTATAATAAAATACCCAAACAAGCTACTTTGTAAAAAAAAAAAAAGAACCTAGTTGGGCTCATGTTCTAAAGGTCCAAGGTCAGATTACTGCTTCATGTTGGCATTACTGAGAAGGTCCTCAAGGTTCTTTGAGGCATCATGCGGCAAGAAGTAGGGAATTCTCATATGCAGCGTGCATGTGCATGGATGTGCAGGTGCATGTACATATGTGTATGTTGGGTTTTCTTCCTCTATGCACACACACACACACACACACACACACACACACACGCACACACGTATATGTGCCAATAGGTATTCAGTCATATCATAGAGCCCCATCCATACAACCTATCCCATTCACCTCCCAAACATCCCATCTTTAAATACCATAGGTTAAGTTTCCACCCTTTTAATACCACACAATGGTGTAAATTTCAACATGTGAATCCTTGGTCCTGGAAAACATACGCTAAGCATATCAAAGCCACACTAATAATGAAGAATTGCTGTACAACAATCCTTTTCTGCATTATGAATATGTATTGCTCTCATTTGCTAATAAAAGGCTGATTGGCCAATAGCTGGACAGGAAGAGATTGAGCTTGAGAGCCAGACTAGGAGGATTCTGGGAGGAGAAGGGCGAAGTCAGTGAGTTGCCAACAAACACAGAGAAACAAGATGAGACCGTCATACTGAGAAAAGGTACCAAGCCATGTGGCTAAACATAGGTAAGAATTATGGGCTAATTTAAGTGTAACAGCTAGTCAGTAATAAGCCTGAATTATCAACTAAGCATTTATAATTAATATAAGGCTCTGTGTCATAATTTGGGAAGAGGCTGCCTGGTATTTGGGTACAGGCGGTCAGGAAA